AGTGCTCAAGGTCGTTCACCTCGAGTACATAGTGCGCCACCTGCAGCATCTAGTCAACGAGGTGCAACTTGGCCTGTGAGTCCAGCGTTGCACTCTATAGCATCCAATGATCATTATACTTAGACACCTTAATCGTTAATCGTATACTCGCATTTCATCTGAAACTGGCTACAGTGCCGCTTGTATTCGCAAGACATAGGACAAAACAATTCCTGACTTCAGCCAATGCCACCTAGAAGATAAGGCCAGCTCGTGACGTCATCGTTCGATGATCTCCGACCCGCCTCAGGCGGCAAACACGCCAAAGCTTGGCGAGAGGGCGCCACCATGCGGCAGACGCATGCGTCTGGCGTCACCGCGTGTTCGCGTCGCGTTCGTTGGGATACGTCGCAAGACGGGCTGGCAGCGATGCTGACGCAATGTGGGTGCCACTGTGTGGATCCACGAAAGGCGCCGCAGCCTTGTCTTTTAGGTGGTCTTGCTTTAATAGGCACTTTAGGCGGCCCCGTCTCAAGACTATAACGATTTGTAGAGCTCGCGGTGGCTTGGGGCCGACACATCCATCGTGCCATTACATCCATCGAGCAATTACGTCCAATTTCGTGCCATTACATCTATCGTGCCCGTACATCCATACTGCCAGCACATCCATCGTGCCATTAGATCCATTTCTGGCCAGTTCATCCAACGTGCCATTACATCCATCATGCCGTTACATCCATCGTGACATTACATCCGCCGCGCCATCACATCCATGGAGCAACTTCGTCCAAAAGCGTGTCATTACATCCATTCTGCCGTTACATTTGATCGTGTCATCATATCCATCGAGCAGCTTCGAAAAAAAAATCTGAATGTTTTATAGAATCAAATTATGATATACTAACGTTCTAGGGCTTCTCCTTTGTTTCCTGTGGCTCCAGAACCAATGCAGAGAGCAAGTCGTATGCTTCTTGAGCAGGTGTTGCGGTGACATCAGAAAGACGCCGAACTTTGAATGAAGGACAGTGGGTACTTTAAAGCAAGCTGCCTTGAGGTCTACCCACTATCCTTCATTCAGAACCAGTCAGAGCTCGGCGTTCTGACGTCACCACAACCCCTGCAAAAGGACGAACTTGCTCTCCACATAAGAATGTGAATAACGCAAAAAGCCCAGTGTCGGCCATCTTGGCTTCTATGGGTGCGCTAGAATGATGGATGTAATGGCATGCTATGGCGTCTTAACAGGAAAGATGAGCAATTGCATCCATCGAGCAACTACGTCCATCGAGCAACGACATCCTACGAGCAACTACATCCATACAGATGTCAACGCATCCAACGAGCTAGTATATCCACCGTGCCATTACATCCATCGATGGATGTAATGGCTCGGTGGATGTACTGGCTCGATGGATGTGTTAATACGTAATCGCTCGCGATCTAGTTTACTAAGACGGAAGGCAACCATGGGCGTCCGTAGAGGGGTGCAAGGGGGAACAGTTGCCCCCCTCTAGAATATTGAGGGGGGTGCGAAAAGGGGTTGGGGAGCTGTACCCACACCAGTTAATGGGTACACCGGCGTTTTTTTAGCTACCCAAGACAACTACATTTCCTGAATACCTTTAATTTACTGTTACCAACATGCTATTTAGTATCTGAAAATTATAAAATGGTTATTAGAAAAATTTAAACGGCAAAAGAAAATTGCCAAAAAAAGTTTTGATTGCGCCGCGCGCGAGACCGGCGAAACTTGCTTTCTACGCGTTGTGCCTTTTTTCTGCGTCACTGCGCTTCCGTAAAAATGTCCACGTGTTCTCAACGGCAAGTCTCACGGCATACACTGGGTTTATAAGAACTTGTTCGGTGAATGATGAAGAACGGGTAGAAAATGTCTTCAGCACGCTGCCGCCAGCCTCCGAAAGGCTCCGTAAACGCAATTTTTCGACATGCAAGATGGCCGTCCGGGGGCTTCACTCGCGGGAGCGGGATGCGCGATCCAGTAATTATCATTGAGATTAGTGGTTTGTACAAGGAAGTTAGAAGTACTAGGGGGGGGGGGGGGGGCGGGGGGGGCACGTTGCAATATTGGTGAAGCCTAGTCATAAAAAGTTTAAACGATGTTGTGCCCAACGTAACCCCTAGATCCCTCAGGCTATTGGTGCGCGTGACATGTCACACGTGGGATGGATGGATGATTGTAGAAGGATTCCTTGCAGGCTTCCGCGCGCTCCGTCCGGTAGGTTTTATCAGATCGAACTCGACTAAAGCTAACTACTGTCATGTGATGTGGTCACGTTGGCCGTGATAAGTGAGGAGAGTAAGGAGGAAAATGAGAAAGAGGCAAGGCGTCAAGGGGGCATGGCTTGTGGAGGTTACGCGGCTAGCGTCATGCCCTCTCCCACCCTTCTATCGTCCTTGGGTTTGTAGCCCCAAGTTCAGGGTGCGGCCGTGAAAGCAGGTACAGAGTAACGTGGAAACGTGCTGAAAATAGCCAACATCGTCAACATTCCGGGAGGGGGGGAATAAGTATGCACCCCCCTGGAAAAATTTCTGCGGACGCCCATGAAGACACGTTAAGATAATGCAAGGCCGCTTCAAAGTTAGCCTGCCGCCGCCAAACGTGCCAGACCTGACCCTAGGTTATGGGAACCATTACGCTTCGTCGAAGTGGGCTATTTCAAATCTTTTAATGCCACCCCTAAGGTTGGGTCAACACACTAGAGCGTGCTTTGACCGCGTGTAGTATTAAGCCGGCAAAGAAGACACTGCGATAGCACAGGGTCAACATGGATCCAATAGCTGACGGAAGTTAGGTGTGATCGAGTGTTATCCGCTCTTTCAATCTTTTGTCGAGGGCCGGCTTACGTGTTGGATGACGCTAAAGGTCAGCCAACACTTCTGTAAAACTGACATTTCAAAGGAAATTCAGCCGAATGCATTAAGGTCAAACAGTTCGCAATCTCAAGTGTGCATTTTCTGTACTTCCCGGAACCTTTACCAGTCTTTGGTTTGAACGACATTTAAAATGTGTGACCAAGCCGTTTAACTCAGCCGGAAAAACAAGATAACTTTGTATATTGAAAACTTATTGAGACGAGTCGTCGTTTTTGTTTTGCTAGAAAGCCCACGTCTAAGATATTCTCGTAAAAAAATAACAATATATATACGTGCTTATCTAAATTAAAAAAATACAAAAAGATCCATTCGTGGAATCTTAGGGAATACGTTTTAATGACCCTTGGAGACGCCACACACGTCCCCATTTGGGAAATGCAAACGCCAAAACCTCAAATTTTCTCTTTTGGCTTTCCCTTTTGATATCTTTATTTCTTGCTGCCTCTTTTTGGCCTCGTTGCGGAGTCAGTGTTAGCTAAGAATATACCAATGGTTCTTCCTATATTTGCTCCTTTTCTGTGCTCTGCTTGTCACCGTACGTCGACACCCTGAGTACGGTCATCCACGTAACTCGTAGAACGAACCACATCCATACCACTGGTGGAAGTAACCGCATCCATATCACTCGTGGAGGGAATTGCGTTCATCGTTTTAACTACACACACACAGTGCAGCCCACGCACCGTTACTATACGGAAACCCAGAGCGAAGAACAACCGGCGACGGCAGAGCGGGAACTGGGCACGCGCGCATTCCACCGCGCCGCGGCGCAACACTTCCTAGTTAGCAAATCCGTAGTACTGAATGAGATGGCGTCATCAGAAAATGCCAACGCTGGGCACAGGGTGGACATGAAGATTGCGTCACCTTTCGGCTCAAAGGTGACTCGAAGCCGAGCGCTGACGCAGCACTGTTTTCGAATATGTGTACTGCGTTGGCCTTTCCTGACGACGCCATCTCATTCAGCACTACGGCTTTGTAATCTAAAAGGTGTTGTGCGGCGCCCCCTCCTCTCTGGCTCCGTGCCAGCGATGGGCTTGACTTCGACGAAAACGAAAGGGTTCTTTTCGACGGCAACCCGGCGGTGTCTGTCAGTTTGTCAGCACCGGGGAGAGAGGGAGAGGTTGACGCGTGCTGACGTCAGCGCTTCGGACCAATGGAATTGTCGCACGCGTCACCCTCTTTCCCTCCTTCTCCCTCTCTCCCCGGCTCTGACAAAGGAAAGAAACCTCCGGGTTTGCGCCAAAACAAAACCTCTAATGCTAACGCATTAAAAAAAGCTTTGCCATTTTTATTTTTAACATTAGGACGTTCCTAGCTGGTGTTTAGCTCTAAGAAAAAAAAAATGTGGTCAAACAATCATATGAATCATAAAACACACACACACAAGCACATCGTGTCATGCATAAAACTTTCCTTATCTTACTATAGTGCTTCGTCTTACTATAGGCCACTCGCTTGCTTTGACGACAAAACACGGGGCGTAGCTTATTATATCCTTACTCAACTTTCTTTGTGATTCGTTCCTTGGCGTTCTTATCCTCTAATATACTTCAATTTGATTGGCTGCAAAAAGATAATGAGATTCTCTGGACTCGGCACACCCAAAATTTCTTAAGCCGCCCATGGCTATATGTATAACTGGCAGGAGATACCTGGTGGTTTCGATAGCCTGAGTACATCCGTATTTTATTTAATTTTAAGCATTCTGGTTTCAAAGGTTTCAGTCTTCTTTTCTTCCTTGTGAAACCGATTTGTGACATGCAGGTTCTTGAAGGACCTGAGGGAGAGTCTCGATAATCGGACCACGGGATTCTCCGAACTTCGAGAGTGCGTCTATTTTTTTAATTAATTTTATATATATAGAAGTTAGTAAAGCCGCGGTCATACTGCTTATACATCAAACAAAATACAATCTGCCAGACATCAGTAACCGCGATATCCGTGGTTTGAATGCCGCGTGTCGTGTTTTTCCTTGAACTCGTTGCCATGCAACATTCGAAGCACGGATCTCGTGGTGCCTTGCGTTCGTATCTGTTGGCAAAGTGTCTTTTGTATGGCATATAAGCAGTGTGACCCCCGGCTCAAAGCTAAGGGTTAACGTATTTAGGCAGAGACCAGCAAATACATAATACATTGTTTTGCCGACGTTTCAGCACCTACTGTATCTGGGACAAGTATCCGAGCGTTCTGGACCACGCCTGCAGGATGTATTATAGCAGAAAGAACTTCTCCCTCTTCGGAGAAGGTAGGATGTTCTCAGAAGCAATCGACGAGATATCATTCTGGAAAAAGAATATTAGATTGATACGCATCCAATTTTTTTCGTAAAACCGGGATCAAAGCAAACGGCAGGCTCCTTTTTATGCGAATCGTCACAGAAACCAGAGTCCGCCGTCTGACGTGCGACAGCCGATCGCAAGTGAACGCTTCTCGCGCGGCAAGTGGGCCGATCAATGGCTACCTGATATTCAAATGTGTGCATTTCACGCGCGAGAAGCGATCCCTCAGTATTGGTTGTCTCACGTCCAATAGCGACCTCTGTATTCTGTGCCGAAACGCAGAAAACGGCCGTGTTGCGATTCTCAATAACCTTTTTATATAAATAGACCATCTCGCAAACCACTTTAGAGCCCCTATATTCACAAGTGAAGTTTCATTCAAATGGAATACATCTTGGTGCTGTTTCAGATATCAGAGATCTGTACCGGCCCTATTTTGTAATGTACATGTCATTTGCTGGACAGCCGCTCGCCAAGGCACAGGTAGGTTTGACGGTTGACAGCTACATTGTGATATATGAACCTAATGCCGCCACTTTCACGTGGGCTAGGTGCATTTCGTTACGTAGTGGGAAAACAATTCGCATATGTCGCAAATTTAGTGAGAAGATAATTCTCAGACGTCGTAAATGTAATGCCCCAACTTTATTAGTTAGAAAAAAAATTAACATGAATAATTTTTTTCAATAATTCATTGTTCAAAAGATTTTTTCCCAGCAAAATAAATATTTTGGAAAGTATAACACCGATGACGTCAGAGTTAAACAGATTGTAGAAACTAGACAGACGAAACTTTAAGAACTCAGAATCATTCTCACAATAAGCACCATAAAAGAAGCTGATTCAACTGTGTTAACAAATGTGCACTCTTTAAAGGGTGAACCCTAGTTCTGTGTTCTCGAGTATAAAAGAAAAAAAAAGTTAGGGCGTAGATACAAATTTAAAATCACTTCTTTTTGTTTACCGGCTTGGCGAACATCGCGTCATAACGAAACACACGTCCACAATTAGAAGCGTTCTTCTCTTTTTGGCATAAAATTTTCTTAATTCTCTGCTCACCGTTTTTTTTTTAATACGATCTGTTTAACGAAAATAGAATAAGTGCGAAGGTGATCTGGTGCAAGCATACCATTATGTATTTAACCGGTGTCTGGCAGAAAGAAAACAAAAATTTGACAGTGTAGAAAAAAAAAACTGATATACAAATATTCTTTCTACCATTGTCAATTTCTTTTTTCTCTTTTCGCCCCAGTCGGGAGATAAATACATCATAGTAATTGTTTTGGACGCTTTTTAACGAGAAGTACTAAAATTCCCAGAGGTTCCGCCATTTCAGTTCGACAGTGCTCTCCAACTTCGCTCCGTGATCGAGCAAGTGGCCATGACGCTGGCCGTGGGCGAAACCGCCTTCCAGTTCGAGCACCGTGGGCTGACCTCCGGCCACATCCTAGTCAAACCGAGCAACGACCAGAGAGTCCAGTACTGCATCATGAGGAACAGCGTGTTCGTCGAGCTACACGGCATCGAGGCCAGCATAGTGGATTTCTCCATGTCCAGGATGTGCCTCACACCCGGTAGAACTTCCCCGTGTTTTTCCCTCTAATATTCCAGTGATAGTTGAACGTTGTACCCGACCCGGTGGAATAACACTGAGCCAACGGTTTTACCAACAAAACACTACGTACAATTGGACATGGACGATTATATTACTAACCGAAAAACCAAGGAGCACCGGCGGCGCCTGAGTCCAGCCAGCGACTCCCTCTGCGCCGCCTCATATTCGTCTTATCAAGGCGGCGCACGCGATGTGCGCGTGGAAGACTTGATTTCGTTGCCACGCGGGAAAGTTCGCCACCTGTGCCGCGCAGTCGGGCAACTGGGCTGGGGAGCCGCAAGGGTGCCCACAACGTTTCTCTAAGACCAAGCAGATATCATTAGTGTCTGCTTGCTAATCAATGCGGTCATTTATACTGGCGGTGAAGTCACCCGCAAAAGAGATTTTGTGGTTACTTGACCGTGTACACCAGTAAAAGAAACAAGTGTGCCTTGCGTTCCAGGCAGACTGCTGCCGTAATTCCGTGCTCATTTTTATCATTAAAGTCCGAATTTGAGCTCTGGTGAACAGGCTTGAAACGTGATTGAAATGAATTCCATTCGTATGCTTTACGAGCTGCACGCATATTTTATCATACGGACGTTCGTCTTAACTTTTAAGCGAGAATTAATCTAAGCATCAGGAGAGGATTTCGTCTGCTCGCTGAGCGGAACCGACTGCACAGAACGATCGCCATTTTTTTTTTCTATGAAGCTGGAAATGTGATTTTAAAATTTGTCTGCGGTTATTATACCTGCCGGGTCATATAAAGCCGCAGGGATCAGCAAACTAGCCGAGGGTCGTCTTAATCGAAACTAAAAGAGACGGTACACTTTCAGCGAAATGCGTTGACGAGGCTATGTCGGGGTCCTCGATCGCGTTAGCTACGACAGGGATGTTTCTTTAAGCTGTCATTCAGCAAGACCAACTGATTTGTTTGAAGGTATGCTGGCCCCATCGGTGTCACGCTGCTCGACAATAGAGCGTGACAACTCAAGCGCAGGATTAGAAGCAACATCCGACGCCGAACAACTAACCTGAAGAACGTGCAGCCTAGCGAAGACGCGAAGGCATCTTCGTAAGGCACGTAAAAACTTGTTCTTATTTTACGAATACCGAGATATTGCAAACCTGCGAATATACATTTGCGCGCATGCTGCATGTGCTTGAGGTTGGTTGCTGTCGGTCCTTGCTGTTTGTTACTCTAGTAAGACCAGCTGGCAGAGTCCGAAATAGTTTTTTTTTTTTTTCGGGAGATTAAATGTCTATTTTTCGCCCACTCGGATGGCACACGTTCTGCAGAAAGATATCTGAACGCGTTTACTAGGGAAGTAAAGGACAAAGAGGAATACACGTGCAAAGTGACTTTTCTTTAAAATTTAGAGTTTGTATTTGCACATCGCCTAAATATATATACACAGCATAAATATTTGGCGTACCAGTCAGGTAGCAAAAAAAAAAAAAAAAAAAAAAAAAGAAAACCTCATTTAGCCCAGTGAAGCTTACAGTTCACGCGTGCTAGATCAAATGCCGCCTAAAATACAAGGCCTGCTTATGACATCATCGTAAGTAGGTCGCCGGGCTGAAGTTTAAAAAAGTACGCCGCAGGGCGGCAGACGCGTGCGTTTTGATGCCGACGCCCGTTAACGCTGCGCTCGTTTTGAGGCTCTGCGAGACGCGCTTGCGGTGACGCTGACGCAAGGTAGACGGCGCTGGATGGATCACCTAATGAGAGCGTCTGGGGAAGTGTAGGGAACGGAGGCCTTCAGGCCTTGTTATCTAGGTCGAATCGGCTAGACCTAGCTCCAGTTAGTGAGTGCTCACAACCACGGAGAGTCACAAAATACTCCTGCGAAACGTAATAACCCAGCACACGAATGCGCCCTGAGACTGTTTTGTTTAATTTTAAATGCATATATGTTAAGAGGAACGTTCTTTCGGGATATTTTATTATCTCGCATACTGCAGAGGAGAGCGGATCTATGCCATGAGTTACACTAGCTTTGAGGTCACTGATTTTCTTTGAAAGCTTATGTGGTAGCATGTTCCAAATCGAAGAGCGCGAACTTCTAATTACCTTGTGTTTTACACTAGTTGTGACCATGTGTTGTTTTCCCCTGCTGTAACCGCGATAAGAATTATCGGACCGCAGAAAGAAGCCCTCGAAGAAAGGCACGTTTCCTATATACTGCTTTTGGCGCTGAAGGCCAATATCAGCAGAAAAAGCGCATTACATCCCTACTGAAGAAACTCTAAAGGCACCCTATGTCACGTAATACAATATGAAACACCCGTATGACGAAACATCCAAAAATCATGTACCCCCGCCAACGAACTTTCCAATGCGAAGTGGGTCACGGTAATTGTTTTTTGTCTTAGGCACACAGTATGAAGATGAACGCACAAGGTGTTGATAGTGTCGTGCGCATCTATTTTGTTAAATTATCACAAACTGAAATAAAAAATTGAAACAGAGGTGGAAGAAAATATTTGAATTTGCGTGCCATCTAATGGGAAAGGTATGGTAAATCATCAGGGCCAAACATCAAACTGACCTGTGCGTCCTTCATTGAGAAAAATTGGTATAACATATCATATTGATCCTTTGAATGGTATATACTTGGTCGTGCGAATGCATTTGATTTGTCGGTCTAATCTCCCTGAAACCCCAAGAAACAGATAGGTGGACCTCTTGAAATACCTTCCTATCGTTTCTTAAAACAGAGAAACAAAATATAAATAAAACGGTTCAGAAGAGGTGAAATCACTGGCGAAGCTTTTCTTTTTAGGCAACACACGATCCTCAATACTGGAGCAAAAACTACAAAACTAAACGCTGCATTAAAGTCTTTTCATACTGACGTCGTCCTCACTAACAGATGCCGAACCTCTCTACTCCGATCTCCACCGGGTGGCGGATGCTAAGAGGTGCGCAGAAGGGGAAAGCTTTTTCAAGATATATGACCTCGTGCGGTGAGTGGATATACCAGAAACAACGAATTCGTATACGAATGTCCCTCCTTCATTACCGCATCCTACTCACCATCAGGCTCATTTACCCAAGCTGATTGGTGTTTAACCGTGCGACGCTATTTTTTTTTCCTTTATTTGTTTTGCGGGAAGTTCCGCGTGGGGGGCAGAGATAAAGGCTTGTGCCTGACAGAGCCTCTGCCCCCCCGTACAGTTCAGCAGTGCAGTACAAAAACACAGTGGAAAATACATCAGAGACACAAAATGCGCCATTTGCCAAACCGATCTGCTAGTAGTAAATAGAACGAAGCAGTTGTGCAACATTCTAAAAATATATAAATAAAATTAGAGTTTCATATACCATAAGAAATAAAATAAGAAAAATAAAAAGACACTGATCATCGAAAACGACCAGGAACAAAGACATGCTTCCGTTGTAGACTGCAAAAAAAAAAAAAAAAAAGTATACAATACATCACATTAAAATTTGCCACCACACAGTGGTATTAATAAAGAAATCAATAAAAAGTTTTTTTCTCACACTTAAACATCAAGAAACAAGCAATTGAAATATGCACAAAAATCAAAGACATATTTATAACACTCATAAAGTTTATGGCACTAACAAAGATGAAAAAGCAATTTCACTTGCCACAAGCATCCTTCTACAAGCACATTTAAAACTAATAAAAGGTTGATGGAAATCTACGGACATATCTTTTCTATTCAGAGATTTATTTATCTGGAAATTTAGCCTTTGTCGGCCATAGTTAGTTCTTATTGCCGGCATTTTCCTTATTGGGTTTCGAATATTGTACGTGCTCAGATTGTATGTTGGTGTAGTGTGGAGCTTGTTTCTGTGTATCATTGTAATAATTTGAAATAAAATACTTGATCTGCTTTTAGCATATTATATTTATTAAAAAGTGGTTGCGTGCTTAAATTTCTTCTTTCTCCTTTATAATTTTCATGCATATGCAAGATTTTTTTCTGCAAGCTAATTAGTCTGTTGTAATTAGTTTCTGCCGTAGTTCCCCACACCAAAATGCCATAGCTCATTTTCGAAAAAATAGAGAGTAGTATAATGTTTGTTTAAGCCAGGTCGGTAGTAAACTGTGCACTTTGTATATGCTACCAGTAGCTCGGGACAGTTCAGTCTTGAGCATATTAACATGAGTTGACCAAGAGAGGTCCTCAGTAAACCACACCCCCAAAAATTTTTGCTCTGTAGCTTGCTCCAGCAAGCTACAGAGCAAAAATGCCGTCACTAAGATGAACATACAGTTGCGTATATATGGCCCATTCCCTAAAGGAATATTACTTATCTTTTTTTTCAGTATAAGCACCACAGTAAACAATGTTCGCTCCCTTGAAGAACGTTAGCAATTTTCCGCCTTACTTGGTAAATTATTATAAACAAATATAGGATTGAGAAAAGCTATTTGGTACTATAATAAAACATGCAGATATCAAACATAAAGTCGCAGCGTTTTTTAGAGCTGAAATGCTTTATAATGGAACCCTGTTCGAAATACTTTTCCTGACCCTGCGTCCACACTTACCCCATTGCACGAGAAGAATGTGACGTGACGTTTTGCTCATTTCGAGCTACGTCGCAGTGTCGCGTGACACTGCGAGGTTACATAATAACGTCATAGCGCATTTATTGCCTCTTAAACAAATTTAAAGCCATCGTTCCTTTTATTATTAAACTTCGGAGGTAAGGGTCGCCCATATTTCGTTTAACCAAATTTTGTAAAATCTACTTCGCGCTGCGTACAAACTATGCCCAAAACTTGATTATTTAGCTAACAGAGAATATACGTATAAGAAGTTTAAGGATAGGAGCGGCCGGTATATTGTTATTTCCCGTTTATCCTCGTCAAGGAACAGAGGCAGAATTTTCGCTAGCCAACCGTCATCTCGTTCATGATGCAGCCATGAGGATTTTTTCTGGTTTCGAAAAAAATGAGGAACACAATCTTTCTTGGTAACTTGACCTAAATTGCTACAGTCATATTTAACAATCTTGCATCTACCGCTAATGTACCATAAATTGCGCGTAAGACAGACAATAAAGGCCCAAACACAAAGACGAGAGCCCTTGTCATGTCTCCGTGTTCTTGTCTACATCTGTTCTTCGCGCCATATATTGTTCGTGAATCATAATGCTTACCAATCTAGACCACCTTATTATTTTAGTTCTGATAATGCTTCTTTTTGCTATAGTCACTGACAGGTCAAAAACGACAGAGAGGTTTTTAAGTTGTCCACGCTTCCAGCGCAAGCTTCCTGGCTTCGATAAGCTTCGGCGTCTCTCTAGCCTTGAGCATGCTCGCGCAGCCAAAGCACGGCGGAAGGCGACGAGCGCGTGATTGAAGCCGGGCATCCGAAAGAGACGCCCTGCCATTTTTATTGGAGATTTGGAGTAAATCGTTGTGATATATCCGATAACAATGCCCGAAACTCCGACGGCGTCTTTGCGCATGTATGATATCGATATCGAGAATCGTTGATGCTCCGATAGCCCCTATCAGAACGGTCTACTAAAACTCCTTGTCATCCCAGTGACTATGAGTCAAGTTAAATCAAATCTTTTATAATTAATCTGTTCCTTCAATTGACAAGACCACGGACAACGAAACCAATCTTTGAAGGCATGATGAGGTCCGGGTCCCAACTGCCTGTTAGATGTTGACAGAGATGCAGAAAAATAAATCATAAGCATAATATAGAAAATATAGCTCAACGGTTTTCATAAAGCAGTGCGTAGTATACAAAAACTGTGTATTGTGAGTTGAAATCTAAACTATTAATGTCGATGTTGTATATGGAAAAGTGATTGTGTATGATATGGATTTGCTCACAGGGACGACCTGTCTAAGTTCCGCCCATGGACCAACGTCATCTTCCTGAGCGACGTGGTCAGACAGCTTCGCCGGACGTACCACGAGTGCTTCAACCATCCAGCGTCCGAAGCCGAGTCCCTGGCCTGGCGAGACGTCTGCCTCTGGGCCGAGGAACTGCTCAGCTTCAGTAGCGTGACGAGCTTCGTTCTCGCTCGCGTGGTTCCAAAGGCGCACTCTTTCAGGGGGAAGTCCGTAATGGAGTTTCGCACTTGCATGTGACGCAGAAAGCCTTGTTGTCACTCATGTACAGCTCGAAAACAATATATAGAATTAGCGTATCAAAGCACTTCATTCTCTCAAATTAATGTCACGCTAACAGAGAGTGACACGTTTCAAAGGGGACATTCCCGCACGCGTAAAAAACACTTGAGGTTGCCACATATAGCCTTTACAAATCAAGGGTATGAAGGTCGTTTGAAACTCAGCATGATATAAAATGCCTGCTACCGTATCAACTTCCTTTGTTTTTAGATATTAGTTAACCTAATGGCAGGTACATAAACATAGCCATCTTACAAATAATGATTTATTGATCCTGGAGAAATAGATTCTGATATCTGAACGATTTTTACAATTTTATGTTATTACATCGCGTCAATGTCAAATGAGTTGTGTTTTAAGGATAGCTTTTATATTTTTGCCTAAGGTAGTGATCTTATACCCCTGTCAGACAAGGTAATTTTGCGCACTTTAACTAAGTGCACTTCAGCTCACTGAATGTCACTTCGTTTCTGTGCCACACGATATAAATTAGTCACTCGGAAATTATGACAATACCGATGGGTAAATTACTATTACACATCTAACACGTTAAAGTAAAGGCGTAAATGTCTCAGCAATATCTAGTCCTTTTAATAAAGACACGTTACAAGACAAAGTTACGTGAATTGACAATATTTACGCCAATTGGATGATTCCGATTGACCTCACAAGCCAAAGTAAAGAAGAAGATAAAGAGGAGAAAGCGAACTCGCTTGAAGCCGAGTGTGCTCTTCAGGAAGAAGCGGTGTGGTACACTACACAAATGACACTTAAGGCGAAGTGCACTCCGTTGAAGTGCACTTAATTAGCCCCTCTGACCGGGGTATAAAAGCGTTTCTAAAGTGTAGTACGGCCGAAAAGTGAAAAGCGCTTGACGATCTGCCACCTGTTCTGAAGTAAACCGTTATTTTATTTTGGTAGGAAGGCAGTTAGGAAAATGATGCGGGTTGGTGATTATATTGCAAAAATGACGAATAAGAGAAGATAAAACTGGGTGCTGCTCACGCTCATTTTGTTATATCCGTCCTTACTGTGTAAACCTATACATATTCAAATAAAGTGGTTGTTGGGACAACGTTGAGAGCGCCCGTGTAACTAGGGTATAATGCCGCCTGTCTATCTTGAATGTTTCTGAACATGAGGCTTCCCGTTTAATTTTATTAGCATAAATGCCCCGGACATGATTACATACCAAAATATTCAGGGGAAGGGAAATTACTCTCCTCCGACTCCTCCCTTCTTCACTCCCCCCCCCCCCGCCCCCCCCCCCCCCCACCAACGCACACACACAAGGGTGCCCTCCTCCTCCCTAAGGCGCTTCCGTTTTCTTCTATTTCATCTTCTTCTGGCTGTGGTCGTACATATTTTTTTTTTCTCCCGGGTCCTTTCTCAGCATTCCCCGTCGCCCCCTCATCTCTCATACACTTCCGGCGTCAGTGACCCCGGTAGCGTTATTGACGGTGTTGGTAGATGAGTTCTAAAACTGCATACACCGCGCACGGCTTCACAATATCACAAAGATTTCTTCCTCAAATAAATCCTTCCCCAAGTTGTGAAACGTCCCTTTGACGTCACCGATAACTTAATAAAAACGACGTGTTTAGCGACGATAAATTTCGGAATATTTACAGCCCGCCTACGGGCACGACGTCATCAGTCCGGCCGTTCAATCGGCTGGTCCCACGGTGTTGCTCGCACGCGCTCCGAAGAAGCTCGCTACGACTTTGTGTTCCACAATCGCGACATTTAGTCACACTGGCGTAAACGCAGGGGTGAAAGGGTACTGAAGGTTCAACTTTGAGGGACTAACGGGAGAGTCGCGAAGATTGCTCCCCTC